TGCCAGCCCTGTGCCCAACTTCCAGGCTGCCACCAGCCCAGAGAGGATGGACCCAGAGGACGTCCTGCTGGAGGACTTAGAGTGGGACCCTCTGGACTTGCCCTGGGTCCAGCTACGTGGGCCCCAGCCTCCATCCCAGACTCGGGCTGCTCTGGTCCCAGTGTCTGGGGTGGTCATTGGTATCAGTCGGGGTCCAAGAAAGGGGCAGGCTGAATCTCTGTCTCCCAGAGAGGGGGTGCCAGTCTCTGCTCTTGCCCTGTAGGTCCCTTGCCATCCTTCTCTTCCCATCCTGTGGTCACCTTGCTGCCCGACTGCTTTGCAGTTCCCTCAGCGCCCCCCAACTCTGCTGACCCCTCACGTCCTCTGGTCCTGCTGGCCCTCCCAGACCCTCTGGTCCTGTGATTCGGCGGAGTTCAGCCTCACCTGGAAAGGGGCCTAGGAGGGTCCCCAGCCCCGAGTCTTCGCCCAGCTTCCCTGCATTATGAAAACTCCCCGGATGCCCCATGTTATTCCTTTCTGTGCCTCAGTGTTTGTCTTGTTGCTCTGTCCCGCCTGTATCTCTTCTTGTCTTGTGCATCCTGTGCCCCTGTTCTTATTTACCCCCCACCTGTCCGTCCTGTTTTGGGGTGTGACAGGACTGCTGTCCCTGTGGTTCCTGCCTTTTCCTTTATCTGCTCCATGTCCTTAGTGGTGTCCTGCAACTGTTCTTACAGTATGTCTGGTGTTGCAGTCTGTCTAGTGTTCCGTGTGGTCTTGTCTGGTCCTGTCCTGTCCGCCATCTGCTCAACTTCACTAATACTTGGAGAGACACAACATACTGGACTGTTTCCAGTCGGGCTTCTGCCCGGGACACAGAACTGAAACTGCCTTAACTAAAGTCATAGATGACATAACAATGTCAACTGATGCTGACAGCATGACTGTGCTAATGCTTCTGGACCTTAGTGCAGCTTTTGACACGGTTGACCATCCATGCTCTCTGCCTTCTGACATGTCCGGGTCGTGCCCGATGTGGGCACCATCTGAGCTGGAGTCCTGGTTCAGTCTCATGGAGGGGTGACATCGCGAATTGGACCTATGAACTGGGTGCAGCCTTCAGTGCCTCCCTACACAGGAACATGGATAACGGACTCATTGATGCACTTTGCCTTGATTCTTAATCACACCTTACACCTGGCTTTTAGCCAGCATGTCCACTCTTTCTGTTTTCAGTAATGTTAGTGCCCAGGGGGGTTGGGCAGACAGTTGACCTTAGACCCCCAGAGGATTCTTTTCTCCTAACGTGGGAGTTTCTGGTTGCTGTCCTCCATTGCCATCTGGCTTTCTTAATTTTATTTCTTTCCTACCTTTATGCCATTCTGTATTAATCTCTCTAATGATGTTTTATTGCATCACAACACATCCATCTAAAGTGCTTTGGGACGACTCTGCTGTGAAAGGCGCTATATAAAAATAAATGAACTGAATTGAATGTCCTGCCTCCTCCCTGACGTGGCTCTAACAAGCCATGTTTGGTGCTTGTTGGTCTCACGTCTCGTTCCAGCCCTCATGTTAAACACTCCCAGCTGCCTCCAGTCTGCTCCCTCGTTAGTCCTGTATTTAAGTGCTTCCTGGTCCTGTATTTCCCAGTTTGATCACTGATGTTGTGCCTCACGTGTTGCCTGTTCTCTAGCCTCCCATCCTGATCCCAATAAGTCCCTGTTAGTTGCCTGACACCTGCTCCACGAGTCTTTCATCCCAGTGACACGACACCGACCGCCAGTGACATCTCTGTGGACCCAGAAATATCAGCCTAGCTGCACTAGTGCCTAAGCAGCACCTTGACAGCGGCATGTTTGCAATGTCATGTTTACCTAACTTGTTCACCACTTTCAGCAACAGTATCTGATGAATACTGGAAATGTAAATGTAATGATATGCAAGTGAGTGTGTCTGCTTTGAAGGAACAAAGATCACACCTGCTTTGGTAAAGGGTGGGGAAACAGGTAAATCCTGTAAGGCAACATGCTTAAAGTCAGCTTACATTCCAACACAGTTCTGGAATATGAAGTTCATAGTCAGTCATAATTTTGTAACATTAAAATGTAACTTTTAAATAGATCCTAACAGTATGTGTGATTGTGGGGGGGGGAGGTGTGGGGTCTCAGGGTGTAACCTCTGGCTCTGGGCTTGTTTCCTGTCCCTCCTGCTGTATGTGTGAAGTTTGCAGGTTCTTCCAATGTGGACTTTCTCCTCCTACTTTGGAAAACATGAAACTGCGATCAGTCAGGCTGATGGAGACATGGAGAGACTGAAGCAGGAGATTGATGAACTGAAGAGGAGACACTCTGAGCTGGAGCAGCTTTCACACACAGAGGATCACATCCATTTCCTCCAGGTAACAGAACAGCTACTTTGACAATAAGAAAACCAGAGTATTCAAATGGATGCATGTTCTCATTTGTATTTCAGCTAGTCTGTCATTTGTCAGATATTAATGGTCCTGTTAATTACATTACAATACACATTTGTTTTGATGAAGCTGTTTAATCAAACTGTGTGTCTGTAGATGTGCCAGGGTCTTCCTGTCACCCCTGAAGCTGGATCTGGACCCAGAATCTCTGTCAGTTCAAGATCTGATTTTGGGAATTCGAGGAAGGTGGTTTCTGAACTGAAAGATCAACTGGAGAATGTTTGCAGAAAGAAAATGGCAGAGATCCATCGTACAGGTTAATACATTTTCTAGTCTGTTTATGTTAATATAGACCAGGGGTGGCCAATCTTACCCAGAAAGGGCTGCTGTCTGCGGGCTTTTGCTGGATTACTAATTAGAGGACTGATTGGCTGAAGAGTCCTCATACCTGGGGTCGAACAGCTGACCTAAAGGTTATCCCAAAAACCTGCATACACACTGGCACTTTGCGGGTAAGACTGGCCACCCCTGATGTAGACCATGCAGAGAGAGTTTGCAGTACAGTCAGCCTCACATTTGTGTGACCAAGTCAGTTAGTTTTCAGTAAGTTTGAATCTTTATGATAACTGGTGAAAGAGCTCCACATTCTACTGGCTGCCAAACCCAGATCACATGAAACATGTTTCTTCTACATTATAGAAACAAGAATCTGTATTAAGTGAAACTTACAATGATTTGCAGTTTGTTAAAATGCCTGTTATTGTTCCCCTATTGCTGTTGTGTCCACAGTGAGTGAAGTCCATCTCCCTCAAGTAAATTCCTTTTACTCACATCCCTGTTTCTTTCTGTCTCCTTCTAGTTATCAAAGACACCATCCTACCGGTATTAGTGCCCAGGACCAGAGCAGAATTCTTACAATGTGAGTCTGTTCACACACACGCTTCTCTCTCCCTGTATGAGGTGGAGTGTGTTTTATTGTGTTTCGTTTTCTTCTGCTAGGGGAGCATCTCTTTGTCTCTCCCGCTGCCTCCTGGTCTTTTACATTTACATGAGCTGTTTATGTCAGTAGCCTTTGAATCCAATTGCAAAGCAAGACAAATCTATTCCGGGGCTTTTCCACTGCACCAGGTACGGTACTTTTGGTACTTTCCTGTCAGGGTCAGCTCCTGTTGTCCCAGCCTTTTGTGTCCCTTCCCCGTTTGACCAGCAGGTGTCGCTGCTCATTCCGTCCCTCCTGTTGTCAGTCTTTGTGTTTCCCCTGCTCCCTGTCAGCCACATGGCTCCCCTTACCAAAAAAAAAGTATACTTAAAGTTCATTTTATTAAGTATACTTCTTGGGACTAAATTGGCCCACTTTTAGTTTATTAAGGTATATATTTTAAGTGTATTTATTTAGTAATATTAGTTATTTGTATTTTTATACCTGAAATTGCTACAAACAGCACAGTGGCGATTGGACTACATTCAGATTACACTAATAAATATTTGCAAAACAGTTTTTTCTCTTAGTCACTCAAAATGAACAAATATTGTTTTGAATGCCAAAATTAAAGATAAAATACACGTTACATATAAGGTAGACTTTTCTCAATACGTGTCAGTTTAAACCAGGTATACTAAATACTATCTGTACCGTATGTAAAGACAATGTCCCGTGACAAAACGTGACCATACTGCCACCCCAATTTCTGGTGGTACTGCACCTTGCGCATGC